AAATCGGACCACTGCGTTGGAAACCTGCACTCCCCATCACCAACATAAAAGGGCTTGACTTGATCTTCGGGCGACATCAGATTCAACCCCGAGATCAACTGGGTAAATTGTACCGCAAGCATCTACAACAATGGAAGGAGAGTCCAGCTACCCAACTGGGACGATACAGGAGATATCCCAGTGGAGACACTCGCAAGATTCGTGAAGGACGTAAAAAAAACCGACACCAGGTTCCTGGCGATAGCGACAAATGTGGAAAGCGACGGAGAGAAAACCTCGGAACCTCCACGAAACATCAAGGAATTACTTAAGGAGTTCCACGAGATTCTTCCCGACGACTTTCCGAACGAGCTGCCGCCATACCGAACGCACCAACAAGGTTCGAAGCCGACCTTCCGAGCACCATATCGGTTCAGCCCCACGGAGGTAGCCGACATGAAGAAACAGATCGAGTATCTCCTCGCAAAAAGACTCATCCGACCATCCAGTTCGCCATTCGGTGCCCCAGTACTCTTCACACCGAAACCGGACGGAAGCCTGTGCATGTGCATCGATTACCGAGCTCTCAACAAGCTAAACATCAAGAACAAATACCCAATCCCACAAATTGATGACTTGCTTGACCAGCTTCGGGGAGCCACGGTTTTTTCCAAACTGGATCTGCGGTCCGGATACTGGCAGATACGAATGGCGGACAATTCCATGCACAAAACTACTTTCCGCACTCGGTATGGGTTGTACAAGTATCTAGTAATGCCGTTCGGACTCACCAATGCACCGGCAACGTTCTACGCCCACTCTTGGACGAATGCGTGGTGGTGTACCTGGATGACATCCTCATCTACTCCCACGACATGCAGCAGCACGTCCAATACCTGCGACGCGTCTTCGACATTCTTCGACGAGAACGATTCTACATCAAGCTATCCAAGAGCGAATTCGCCCTCGAGAAAGTCCAATTCCTAGGACACATGGTGAGCGCTAAAGGAGTTTACGTCGACCCCAAGAAGATTGAAGCCGTACGCACATGGAAGACACCCGAGAACGCGGAGGAGTTGCAGTAGTTGCTAGGCTCGCTAACTATTACAACAGGTTCGTGCCACAGTAAGCAAAAATCGCAACACCACTCACGAATCTGCTGAAGAAGAACATGCCCTATAAGTGGGAACCAAAACATTACGAAGCCGTGGAGCAGCTGAAACAAGCAGTCACGTAAGCACCCGTACTTATCTTGCTAGACCACGAACGCGACTACGTTATCGAAGCTGACGCCAGTGACCACGCAGTGGGAGCAGTCTTGATGCAAGACCGGGGGAATGGACTGCAACCAATCGCCTACCTCAGCAAGAAACTACACGGGGCAGAACTAAACTACATGATACACGACAAGGAGGCCCTTGCTACTATCATCGCCTTCAAAACGTGATATGTTATCTCGAAGGACGGAGAACAACCATTTACACCGACCAATGCAGCATGAAATATCTAAAGACACAACCAAACCTCTCCAGGCGGCAGGTCCGGTGGATTGACTTCCTCAAGACGCACTTCCACTATGACATCGTGTACAAGCCCGGCCACAAAATCAAAGCAGACGCTCTCAGTCGGCCCGCACACGTTGCCGCAATCCAGGTCGAAGGGATGAACCCACTACCTAAGGGACTCTTCACACACGGGTACGTCATCGACCCCAGAACTCCTTTGGTAGCAAAACGATCCCTGCTACAGTGGGACAGTGACATCGCATACCAGAAGGGATCAACAAAGATCTGGGTACCCAATTACCCTACTTTGGGGCAGTTACTACTCGAAGAATACCACAATGTCCTCTACGCGGGACACTTCGGTAGCAACAAGACGCTCACCGGGATTGCAAAGCACTACTACAGGCCCCACATAGCAGCCGACGTCCAGCAATTTGTCACCTCGTGTGCAACATGTCAGCGGATGAAGAGCAGCAAGCAGAAAAAAGCAGGAATGCTACAGCCTCTTCCTGTCCCAAAACAGTCATGGCAAGTGGTTAGCCTGGATTTCATCACCAGGTTACCAACTACCACAAGCGGTCATGACGCAATCCTCGTCGTCATAGACAAATTCTCCAAAATGTGACACTTCATCCCGACACACACGACAGCACGCACCGAAGAGACAGCCCAACTATTCGTTCGCTATATCATCTCACAACATGGCATTCCAACCATACTCATCTTCGACTGAGACCCCAACTTCACCAACAAGTTCTGGAAGGAACTGATGCCTGTGCTCGGGACCAAACTCGCCTTGTCATCCGCCTACCATCCGCAGACAGATGGACAGACCGAGCGCCTCAACCAAATTGTAGAGCAGCTCCTCCACGCAGCATGCAAAGCCGAAATCTCTAAATGGGACTTGCACCTGCCCGTCCTGGAGTTTGCCTACAACAACGCCACTCACGCCGCTACTGGCCAGACGCCGTTCTTCCTCTGCTACGGACGCCACCCGCTCACGCCACAAAAACCGACAGCATCAGCTACAGTCCAGCCCACACACGACTTCATCACGACCATGCATCAGCTTTGGGATCGGACCCACAAGCGCCTCCTCGACATTCAGCAGCAACAGAAGCGCCAGGCCGATTGCCACCGCACTGTCCACACCATCACCATGGGAGACCAGGTTCTACTCGACACAGGTCACCTCGCTTCTGCGGGCCCTTTCTCGTTGAAGCACAGGTCACTCCTGTTTCCTTCCGCTAACGCCTACCACCTACCTGGAAGATTCACCACGCCTTCCATGTCCAACTTTTGAAGCCCTATCGAGACCCTAACACGGTCTTCACCGGACACCAACCCCCGCCGCTGCCGCCCGTCCTCGTCCACGATGAACTCGAGTACGAAGTCGAATCCGTGCTCGCACACCGCCGTCGTCGGAATGGCATCGTGGAGCTTCTCATTCGTTGGAAGGGTTATGATCCTTCTGAGGATACTTGGGTTCCTGACTCCGAGATGGGTAACGCTCGTCGTCCTCTTCGCGACTACCTTGTCAAGCAGGGTGTTACGTCTAATACCCAGCTTTGAGGGGGGGAAGTGTGAGAGTACGACCCCGTTACACCAATTTCCTTTTCCATATCTCCTTTCTATTTCATTCCTTTTTTTATCTCATCTCATTTGGTTTTCTATTCCTCCTATTCCATTATCCTTTGGTTTATCCTGCTATTATAATTATATCACCGACCAGGCTTGGGATGTACTGGCGCGCTATATTTAGCGAAATCCTGTCGTAATCCCTTAAAGCCAATAGCCCCACGTGGCTATTCGCAGGGTGATTCTATTTATAGAAGGGTCTATTCCTTTTGGATAGGATAAACCTGGTTACCTGATGTACTTTGGAAGTATAAAAGCGCCTTGTATCAATCGATAGTGCAACCTTTCCTTGACACATTCGATCCTGTAACACAGGCGGTACAGAAGCGTGCATCGACACCCTCTCTCTCGCTGGCTTCTCACAGTAAGAGCGAAGCGTTTTCATTTACTTGATTTCATTCATTTTATTTCCTCCATCATAAAATTCCGTCGTCCGAACTCCGCCCAGAATGTTGACATTTGAACACCAATTGAACACAATTTTCAGACTCGGCTCTGGAGACCTTTTATACACAACGTGTTTAGACATTTTGAACACAAGTACTGTATACTTTTTGAACACACGTCGAACACACGAACAGTGCACATTTCGAGCACGCATCTCACACGCTGTTTGAACACAATCCAGTCATGCGATTTTTTGTGTTTTATTCTGACGGATCTCTGATATAATTTGCTTGTGCAACGAAATAATGTATTATAGCAAGAATCGATACTTGGTCTAGAAAAGCAACATTAACAGAAAATTATCGTATCTTAGTTCCTCTAGCGCTACACAGTACAAGGCATAACCTGACGAAACACACAAGACAGACCTTAGAAACAGAAACCCAAGAAGGGCCACGTTAAAGCAAGGATCTCAAGAAGCGAGAAACCAAATCCAAAGGTTATGTTTTCGGTTTGGCGAAATGAGCGAAACAGTAACAGCAGCGGCCCCCCAACACCCATCGCCACACCTCGCAATTTTTGCGACCCCCCGAAACCAAAACCTTAGGGTTTGGTGCTTTGCTTCTGGAGATTCTCGCTTTAAAGCCCTTATTTAAAACCACAAACCAGGAGCTCACTTAAAATAGAGCGGGTTAGCCATAAACATGATGCATAAATGATCGAGGAAATGGTTATTGCCATGTACCCTCGCCTTATGTTGTGATTAATAATGGGAGAACGTTAAGATAACATTTGTACAAGTGACTGAGTGTGCGAACGCTAAATATCGCGGGCGAAATGGTAGGTAGAGGAAACGGCGATTTCCAGCTCGGCCTATTAGGGTTTCGTCATTTGGAGGGCTTGGGGATGAGCTAGTTGGCATAATGTGATTGGTTGGTGCGTTGAAATTGTTGATTAGAATAGTAGACGTGGTTTGGGGTGTGGTTGGCTTGGTTTCATTTCCATCCTACATGGATTGGGGCACCCAAAGTGGTTTGGGTGACGTGGCTGTTTGGGCTCAAGCGATTGGTGGCAAGTTTGGGGTGGTTGAGTGTAATTCGGAATTGGGAGGCTAAACCTGAGGCTCAGCGTGTTTTAGCGAATCGTTGCAATCTTCGCTGCAGATCGCGCATGCGAAAATCGGTTGAGGGTGGTTAACAGTCAAAATTTACGTAGTTCGTTTGACGAACAAATTTTGCGAAGTGAGCTAAATGGTTTGCTTATTTTTTCCTCGAAACGCGCCGCGACTCCAGAATTGAACTCAATTTGAACACATTTTGCGCATTTCCATTTTAGGGCAGAGATTGAACACGAGCATTTTGGTGATGTCCTCTCGCTTCGCTCGCGACAATGGCATGTTTGTTTGTTTGTTTGTTTGTTTGTGGTGCTCCATCAGCTAGGTGCTCCGTTGATTGATGGAGGGAAGTGAGCCGGGTGCGGGGCTGACTGCGCACCTGGCAGCCTCAGGTGTGATGTTATTGAGCCGCCCAACCTGGGCTGCACCAGCCTGGCGTGCAGCAGGAAGGTTGAGGGCATGGCGGATGCCATCGCTCCAGTGCGACCACTGTTGTCCGCCTCAGCACATTGCGCTTCCGTGTGGCTACGTCCGCGAGGCGGCCAACAGTAGCCTTCCCACTGGAGCTGCGGCTGTGCTTCATGCTGCTGGTCCGTGGTGCTCCTGTGAAATGCAATGCGCTGAATGTCGGTTGGCTGGCACTTGGCTGCCGCTGGCAGTGTGAAGACATGACGCCTGCCATGGAGCCGCTCAGCCTGGACTGCTCCTTCCAGGAAGGCTGAGAGGATGTATGTGGATGGTGTTGTGCCAGTGGCCATGGCCATGGTTTTAATGCGAGTGATTCCCCTTTTGTTGATGATGTTGTCTGCTTGTGGCAGGGAGTCCCTTGATTGACACTGTCCACCATGCATAGGTTGCTTGATTGATTGCCTCCAACCCAACGGGAGACCGTACAGTCGTTAAGCTGAACAAGAGCAACATACGGTATCATATTCCTCCTCTATCTTCCAGTACGGCATGCTTTGGCTGGTTGTACTGAACTATCACGTAGCCCAGTGCAGTACTTCCCAGTGTAAGGGCGTATTCCTACGAAGTGGTGTTTAGTACCATGATAGTAATAAACACGTATGAACACCATGCTGTAATTGCCGATCTTCAAAAAGCTGTTCAGTACCAGGATAGCACGATTCGCAAGGGGTCGCACAATTTGCACAATTCGTTTCGACAAAATGGAATGAAACACGACATGCATGCGATGCGTTAGGTGCTGTTCGCGAATGTTATTGAGTCAACCCACCAATCACAAGGCACGCGAGCGACCAAGCTGGCTTCTGGTTCTGGTACTGGACTCGGTAAGAAAATTCATTCACAGTGTTCAAGAACCGATTTCTGTTGCTGGTACTAGGCCCCCATATTGGTTTTGAACCACCTTGATTGATCAGTGTCGACTGATGCATCAGGGTTGTGTTTGCTCTGGACACTGATTTCCCGGATTGAATTTGTCCCGTCGTGTTTTTGAAGTCAGCTCCTATGCAGTAATAAACAAGGCCTAGAGCATGGCATTGCCCCTAAAGGTGTGTTTCTTTATATTTCCGGAACCTGGCAAGTTCCAGAACTCTGGTGGTCATAATTTCGCTTCGCTGCACATCACGGCAAGGCTTCACGAATTCCTCCCCCCAAGCATAAGTTTCGCCAATTCTGGACACGGTTCCGGAATTTCAAGAATCGCAACTGTAACACACATGCCCTAAGAACGAGGGGCAGGCCGCAGGTGACATTGTCGGCTTCATTGACGGGGGGGGGGGGGGGGGGGGGGGAGGGTGGTATCAGTGTCAGCTCTGAATTGTACGCTAATTGGTTGTGGAGGACGCGCCTTGTTCTGGGTGCTTTGATTAGTTCTGGTCTCTAGGCTGCGGGGGGTATGTGGGGGGTTACTGTGGGGGACCAGGTTGCGAGGTGCTCTAGCAGGAAAATATCTGGCTGCAGGGGACTCAGCCAAAAATTCCGGGGTTGCGAGGGGTGCCGAGGGGATATATCTGGCTGCAGGGGACTTAGCCAAAATTCGCTGGGCTGCGAGGGGTGTGGGGGGGATGTCTCTGGCTGCAGGGGACTTAGCCAAAATTTGTTGGTTGCAACATGGTCGGGGGGGAGGGGAGGGGGGGCACTCTGCCATCGGCAGGGAGATTTCTGCTAATTTCGGAAGAACTTGTTTCAGGGTGCATACTCGATATGGCGCTGACACCATGGTTTCAGCTAGGATTTAGGGTTGTCTGAGAATCATACGGGGTTTCAAAGTTTGGTCTGACCATGAGACAAAAAAAATCAAGCAGTATGAGATTTCAGACGAAAATTTACACTGGTTTGAAATTTCAGATGAAAATTGTGCACAAGAATCTTCATGACTTGTAATTCGACCTCGATTTGTTCGTTTCCTGCTAAGCGCGTTTTCTTACGAACCTCTTCCCAGGCTATCCAATTCCCAGACTCGGTCCTCGCCTCAGAGCGCGCTCGAAGTTTTCCTTGTCAAGCTCAGTTCGTTTCATTATCACATTCTCAACCGCTTTGATTCTGCTCGGGTCATATTGGAACTGTAGAGACCCGTGCCTCTCTGGAAAACGTGCGCCTGCGAAGAAGTTTAAAACACGCCCTGAACCTCGTCAGTCTAAACCACGCAGGGGGGCGCAAGGGTCACTGCACTGCACTATAGCGTGCGAGCTTGGGAATAGGCAGGCCTGGGAAGAGCCCGTAGGAGAATGCTCTAATTGGTTGGGAGGCTTGGATTCAGTCAGGAACACTCGCAGGTGGCGTGATGTTTCACGTGTAGGCAGGCCCCTCTCCTTTCGCCCAGCAATTTCAGGTTTCCTTCCGCCCCGCCCCCAGTCCAGTCAAGTGACGAAGTAGAAAAAGCAGTGTGGAAGCAAGGTAGCAGGGAATTAGCCCGAAAAACTGGGCTGCGAGGGGTGAGTGGGGGAATATATGTCGCAGTTAGGGACTTTGCCGAATTTTTGGGATTGCATGTGGTGTGTTGAGGAATGACTCTGGTGTGGGAGACTTCACTGAAAGTTTGTTGCTGCGACGGGTGTGTGGAGGAATATCTCTGGTGTGGGGCACTTAGCCGGAAAAACTAGGTATTCTAGGGATGTGGGGGGAATGTATCTAGCAGTCGAGGACTTCGCCGAAAAAAATCCAGGTTGGGGGGGGGGAGGGGGGAGGGATGGGGGGACAAAGAGGAACGTCTCAGACGAAAAAATATGCGCTATCTGAATTCTCAGGCGAAAGTCTACACCTGGTCTGAGCTTTCAGACAAAATCTTATGGCTTATATGGACGATCAGACGAATTAATTTAGCCCGTAAAAAAAACAGATGAGTGGAAAAATACAGGTCTGATTTTCAGACCAACAGACCAATTTCCTTTGATATCTGAGACCCTGATTGACGCATCAGTGTCGACCCACAATCACACTCTGAAAAATCAGTGTCCTTACATGAAACGACCCTGAAAAATCAGGGTCGACCCCCTCCCCTAGGCTGAAAATTCAGGGTCGGTACATCAAAACACCCTGAAAATCAGCAAAATCAGGAGAAATTTCTTGAAATCTCAGGGCCTGCTGGTACTGATGTCAAACACATTTGTGTATGTTTAGTAGACTACATAGGGCCTTGCCATAGAGAGTACAACCCACTAGCTATATACCCCCGTATACTCTCATTCTAGTTAACACTTCTAACTCTGAGATGGTATCATGAGTAGGTTAGGTCCCCCCCGCCCACCCGCGCTTCCGCCTTAGGTCCTAGCCTGCCCCGTCGCCTAGCGCCTAGCTGCCCCATGGGCCCCGCTGCCCCGTTGCCTTGCTGGCCCCGTGGCCCCGTTCCCTAGCGCCTAGCCATCCGTGGCCCCGCAGCCCCGTCACCTAGCGCCTAGCCCCTGCGACCCCGTCACCTAGCTCCTAGTCGCCCATGGCCCCGTCGCCCCGTCACCCAGCGCCTAGCCGCCCCGCTGGCCCCACGGCCCCGTCACCTAGCGCCTAGCCGCCCGCGGCCCCGTTGCCCTGCCACCTAGCGCCTAGCCGCCCCACTAGCCCCGCGGCCCCATCCCCTAGCACCTAGCCTCCTGCGGCCCCGTCACCTAGCGCCCAGCCGCCCGTGGCCCTGTTGGCCCGTCACCCAGCGCCTAGCCGCCCTGCTGGCCCCGCAGCCGCATCACCCCTAGCGTAGCCACCCTGCCGCCCCGTCGCCTAGCCGTCCCTTGGTCTAGCCGCCCAGTCGCCTAGCCGCCCCGTCGCCTAGCCGCCCCGTCGCCTAGCCGCCCCGTGGCCCCGTAGCCCAGCCGCCCCGCGGCCTCGTTGTCCAGCCGCCCAGCGGCCCCGTCGCCCCACTGCTCCGCGGCCCCGTCGCCCAGCCGCCTCGCCACCCGTCGCCCCGCTGCTCCGCGGCCCCGTTGCCCAGCCGCCCCGCGGCCCCGTCGCCCAGCCGCCCCGCGGCCCCGTCTCCCAGCTGTTCCGCGGCCCCATCGCCCAGCCACCCCGCGACCCGTCGCCCCGCTGCTCCGCGGCCCCGTCGCCTAGCCGCCTCGCGGCCCCGTCGCTCAGCCGCCCCGCAGCCCCGTCTCCTAGCAGCTCAGCCACCGTGTTTCCCGGTCCCCTGCTTCACCGGCCCTCTCCACTGTCCTGCACCGCGCCCCACCGTGCTGCACCTCTCAGCACCGCACTGCACTTCGCCCCACCGCACAGCACCACGCCCCACCTCACTGCACCGCACTGCACTACGCCCCACCGCATTGCATTGCTCTGCACCGTATGGCACCGCACTGCACGGCGCCCCACCGCACTCCATCGCAGTGCACCATACAGCACTCCTAGTCATTACCCTTGCAGACCCTTCCTCAGGTCCGGTAGTCGCCTGTAGTTCCACCACTCTCCCTTGACTAGCCGTTCCTTAAGGCTCTTTTATAGGCCTGCACATCCCCTTGTCCTCTCGGAATCTAGTTGGTGTCGGCTATCTTCAGGACCTCGGCGTCACCACTACGTTCCTTGGTCACGAGAGGTACACTGTCTGTATCGAGGCCGCCACTGGTGCCCCCCTCACCACGTTCCCCCGGGACCCGGTGTCTGGCCTGTTCACGCTGGACACCGCGTCCCCCCCGACTGGGACGCCCCCCCAGGTGGCAGCGTCTACCCAGGTTGCTGTGGCTTGCTCGTGTCGGTTGCTTACTCACCCGTCACTACTGTGGCACCACCGCCTAGGTCACCCCGCCCTCACACGTCTCCGTCACATGTCTGAGCACGGTCTTGTCTTAGGTCTCCCTGCGTCGTTCACTGTGCTCCCCTCCTCGGCAGCGCCTCTGTGCACCCCCTGCATCGAGGGCCAGCTCCGCCATGCCCCTCACTCCTCCTCGTTCCCCCCCACCACCGCACCGTTACAGACCCTGCACATGGACGTCTGCCCCCCCCCTCCCCCCCCGTTCATGGGCCATGTCGTGAGCGTTACTTCCAAGTGCTTGTCGACGACTACACTCGCTACACCACCATGTTTCCCCTGGAGCGGAAGGCCAACGTGCCCGACGTTCTTTTCCCTTGGCTTGTCTCTGCGCGTGTGCATCTAGATTTCCCTGTGTTGCGTCTTCACTCCGACTGTGGTGGCGAGTTCGCCTCTTGTCCTAGGTCTCCCTGCGTCCTTCCCTTCCCTCCCTCCCTCGCCTGCGCCGCCGTGCACGCCCTGCGTCCATGGCCGGCTGCGCCGTGCTCCTCACTCCTCCTCACTTTGCCCTGCCACCGCGCCACTCCAGACCCTGCACCTCGACGTCTGGGGTCCAGCCCACGTCCCTGGGCCGCGTCGAGAGCGCTACATCCTGGTGCTTGTCGACGACTATACGCGCTACAGAACGGTGTTTTCTCAAGAGCGGAAGGCCGATGTACCTAACGTTCTTATCCCGTGGGTCATAGCTGCACGAGCCCACCGAGGTCTGGGTGATTCCCTCCGCATGATAGAACCGGCCAAGCCGACTAGAGGCAAACTCGCCATAGCCGGACTCCCCACAGCAGAATGGGGTCGCTGAGCGACGCATCAGTTTGGTCATGGAGGTGGCTCGTACGTCCATGATCCATGCCAGAGCACCCCAATTTCTGTGGCCGTTCG